GAATGAGGTAGACTTTCAGGTTTATGCAGAGAAGGTCAGGTATGCCGGAGAAGCGGCTGGGGCTCCCCAGAGCCAGGAGGTTCCTCCTCTGCTGGCTGATGGGGAGGCTGCGTCAACCCTTTGCACCAACCATATCCCTGGGATTACAGAAACAGACCCCTGCTCCCTACAAAGTGACTTCAAGTGATGAAAGAATGGATGATCTGGCTTGACCCAGCCCTGGTTGGATCCTCCACATGATATAGTGAATTAAGAGCCTACATGTCATAGGAGTGCCTGGAGGAACAGGCTCTAGGCTGTGTCTCCGTGAATGATACTCAGGACAGCACTCTTTTTTTTTTTTTTTTTTTTTTTTTGCGGTACGCGGGCCTCTCACTGTTGTGGCCTCTCCCATTGCGGAGCACAGGCTTCGGACGCGCAGGCTCAGCGGTCATGGCTCACGGGCCCAGCCGCTCCGCGGCATGTGGGATCTTCCTGGACCTGGGCATGAACCCGCGTCCCCTGCATCGGCAGGCGGACTCTAAACCACTGCGCCACCAGGGGAGCCCATGGACAGCACTCTTGAGCTGTGATCCAGGATCTGGATGCCCTTGTTTCTGCTTAACGGCTTTTCAGCACCTCAAAGCTATTGTCTAAACTCACGGTTGCTGCTGGGGAAACACCTGGTGACTCCATGGCTGTGATGCCCAGAGCTTCAAATACATTCAGAATTCCAGCTGCAAGGCCATGTGGGAAAGGCAGTCTGAATCTTGCCAGCCTCTGCAGACAAGGAGGCCCTCAGTGGAGGGCAATGATGCCAAGTGTCCTGCCCATTCCTCATGGTTCCCCCTTGCCCCCAACTTATTATAACTGCTTATTACAGCCCAGAATGTCTCCCATGGCTCAACCGCCAAGTCCTCAGCTGTACGCCTCACCACTCTCTTCCCTCTTACTTGTGCCTCAGCATCAGTGTCTGTGCCCCCCACATCCACAAGTTCCAGGGTTCATGCATGATGGTTTCTGTCTGACCCTCTCCCCACTCTCTTCATGTGCATTCTATTCACGGCTCCCACACCACCGCCGCAGCAGCTTTCAGTTTAAATGTTGCCCACGTGAAATGTCCCTGAACTCTGAGGATGTGGTCTGTAACCTCATTACATCCTGATAGCACCTTGGACGTCTTCTCTTGAGCACTTTTCACAGCTTTCTTTGTGTGTGTGGCTTTGTTGTCAAGGAAGACACTTGAGAATTAGAGCCGGTTGTGCTTCTGATGCTCAACGAGAAGGGAATGAGTTGTTTCTGGGACCAAACAGATCAAGGGTTTCAGATTTAGGTGAACCACACCAACCTTCGCTCTGCACGAGCAGTTGGGAATCAAAATCACACTATAAAGTGAAGATACTCAGAGAAAGTATCATTCCAGAAACAGATCGAATTGGTCAGCACTAGAGGTGTGGACAGTTCCTGCTGTTCTTTGGACACACACCCCCCCCCCATTCAAATGATTTTACTTTTCTTTTTTATGTGTGTGGAAAAATATACCTAACATAAAATTTACTATTTTAACCCTTGTAAATTGTACAGTTCAGTGACATTTTGTACATTCAAGATGTTGTATAACCATCACCAGAATATTTTCATCACCCCAAAAGGAAAATCTCATATTCATTAAGCAATCACTGCCCACTCCACTGTCCTCCCAGCGCCTATAAACCACTGATCTGCTTTCTGTCTCAATGTATTCAGCTACTTTGAAGTTTTCATATAAATTATAAAAGATGTGGTGGTTTGTGTCTGGCTTCGTTCACTCATCACAATGTTTTCAAGGTTCATCCATGCTGCAGCATGTATTGGCACTTCATTTCTTAAGAGAAATAATAT